AAGGGTTTACATAGGGGTTTATTGCAATGTGTCCTCACCCTTCTCTGGCTGGACATACAGGCCAGCTCTGTACTAAGTCCAGAACTAATAAAACATGGTTTCCTTTCTTTGACAAACCTGCTAGAAAAGCAACTTGCAGTGTTTAATGCAAACAGAGCACTAGGGCAAAGTGTGTGATTGTTTGGTTTTTTCCTAGGTAGGCAAGAAAAATTAGTATTATCAGTGAAAGCCTCTGCTTCAGTGTAGCTGGGCCATTTATTTGCTTCTGTCTTGCCCTGGGCAAATCATGTTTCCTTAAGCTGGGCAGAGGTACAGTTTGATTCCTAGCTCAACCTCTGAGAGTCTTCCTTGATCAAAGTCTTGCCAGCTGTGCCAGGCATTCAGCATTGGTGTGACCTCTGTCCACAGGAGCCTTTCCTGAGCTGAGAATGTCAATCCCTCATGGCAGTGTTGAACCCTGTAGTGAGAGATGGGGTGTTAACTGTGGGGTGGTACCTGTAAGATGACTATAAAGTCTTTAATGTTTTACTAAGCACCAGGTGCTTTCAAAGTCAGCCATACTCATCTGGAGCCCCATGAACTTGTGTACACTTTTAGATTTCATCCATTTTCATATGCCTGCAGCTGAGTACCTGTAACAAGTCATGATACAGATTTCTCAACCAGATGTGGATATGAAGGCTTCAACACAGAAAGCTTCAACACAAACTCCTTCAGGTGACCCGTAGGTGAGCCCTGTGAATAAGAAGTAGATTTCAGCAAGCTCAGGTGAGACTTGCCACGAGAGGGAGACAGCATGTGTTCCCTGAGCACATCTACCTGAATGAGACAGCTTAGCCTGGTGTTGTGAACATGTCTGGACACTTGCAGCTCTTAGTGAACTGGTGAGAACCCAAACTTTGTACTTCAGTTGTGTGGTAGGTACCTGTGATAGAGAACAGGGATTTATCTCTGGCTGTTATCATCTTCCAAGCATCTGTAGCATGACTCAGTGCCACAAAACACAGAGCAAATGGAATCCAGATCTGCTGGTAATGGTTTAGCACACGTCCAGGCCTTTCTAGGTCAGGCCTGGGAGATCCTGGTGCGAGCAGGACTGTGCAGCACCCAAGGAGTTGCTTCAGGTACCTGCAGCTGGCTGGCAGGGCCATTCACTGTTCATACTGCAAACAGCCATTGCACAGGCTCAGCTGCACCCTGTGACCAGCTTTGGCAGGCTGGGTGTTTGCACAGGGCTGTGAAAACACAGTGCTGCGAGACTGGGCTGCTGCAGCACCCAGGACACCTGCTTGGGACTGCTCCTTTGCTTCCTCAGCACCAGCTGAGAGATTTCATGGGAGAAGAGGCTTGTTCAGTGCACATGGGATGGCTTCGTTGGCCCTGCAGATTGTGTCGGCTTTTCCCATGGCTGCAGCACAACAGTGGGGCTCTGTTTTCCTCTGGGAAGGGAATAAGCTGCTTCATCATTATGATCTCTGTGTAGTGTCCTGTTGATAAGATCAGTCAACAGCATCAGAGGAAAACTCAGATTCAGTTCTGAAGTATAAAGTGAGTGAGGCCTATTTGTTTAATTTGAGCTTCTAAGGTTTAAATCCCAGAGGAAATTAAATTAGGTGCCTAGAGCAATGGCAGTCTGTCATGTTTATTTGCTGGGAATGTCACCTTTAATATCATGCACATACAACGTGTGTGTGTGTTAATGTAATGGGGTATCATACTGTGCAGGAGCAGGCTTGCTACAAGAACTGGAGATGTGAAATACTGTGAGTGAGGGGTGCTGAGATAGGATTGGATTTTTTTTCAGCCTTCTCCATAAGACTCACTCACCAGCACAAAGGTGGTTTAGCTAATTGCAGTTGGGGATGGCAGCCTGATCTATGTATGAGCACAGGCATTAGTGCTCTGGGGCCGTTTTGATTGGGCTACTTCTAACAGGAGAAATCTTGTCTAGACGCGAATCCAGGATGACAATACTTCTTGCTTCCAAGCCCTCTTAAGCAGTTGGTGTCCTGCTGGCACATGCCTTCCCCCTACATGCTCAGGAGAACCTCAAGAGTGCCAGTTTCCTGTGTTGTGGAATGTAGCTGCTTGTACATTTGGTTACACCTGCACTTTGGAGTCTCCCTTCTTCTCCAGGAAGAAGGCAGGTCTCCCCAGCAGTGTTGGGTAGTAACATTTGGGGTGGATTTTTTTCTGACTTAGATTGTTAAAGACAGGCTCTGAGACACACACTGTGTGTGTGAATGTCACTGCAGCAGTTTGTCACTGCAACCTGTGACACCTGCTGTCCACCAAAGTTAACTGTCCATGCAGGGCTCGCAGAAGGCACTGTGATCTTTCCTCACGTGCTGCACAGAGCAGGCTGCCATTGCTCTGAGCCCCCAAATGCAGCTGAGTTGAGCTGTGGTCTCCTGTCTCGCTCCACTTGTCAGACCGTTCAGGGAGCCAGTTCAGCTCAGTGCCTCAGTGGAATTTGTGCTTCTATTTCAGCTGGATTACCAAAATTCACTGAGAGAGGGCAGTGAGCTGTAGACAGGCTCAGCCATCTTAAGGCATCGTACCCCAGTTTCAGTGCTAGGCACAGTGCTCCATATAGGGTTTGTCCCTAGCCAAGACCTGACCTGTCCCCTCCTTCATTCTCTCCACCCTTTGCTGTTTACCCCTGCATACCCTGTCTTGTCTTCCAACAGCCTCAGAGCAGCTGGCTGCCTTGCACACGTGGCTCCCATTTCTCTCCTGCCTGTGGCACCTTGGGAGTGCCCAGGGGTCTTCCTGCTGTGCTTGAATTCTAGCCTCCCTGCCAAAGCTGCAGCTCCTCATTCGTGCTCTCTCACCCATCCCAACCTCTGGCATTTTTGCTCATCCGTGGATGGCTGAATATTCATTTCCTCCTGGCCTGATTGCTGTGAATACCAATTCCTCCTCCTTTTTCCGGCTGTTCTGTAGATTTTGATGTCTGCCAAATTGTTTTCATTCCCTCACCCCGCTGCAGACTGCACCTCCGCAGAAAGCGATCCTCTCGGTGCAGAGCCCCAGCTCCCCACCCAGCCCTTCCTCCTGAGCTGAGTGATCAGGTTGCCCTCCTGCCTCCAACAGGGACAGACTTCTCCCTCCTCCTGCAAACAGTCAGCAAATGAGTGTCTCCAGTTCAAGAGGCAGAAGAGTTGCAGGCCCCTGCAAGGAGACTGCAGCAGTCTGCGGTGGCACTGCGTGTTTCAGTGCAATGTTCCTCAGCTTGCCAGTCTGCAGATTGGCGCCAGGTTGCAGAGTCCTGTCCAAAGCAGCAAGCTGCTGGCTCCAAGCTGAAGCAGAGTTTTTTCAGGCTCGAGGTATGATGAGAAAGGCCTGGTAAAGGTGCCTGCATTCATGCTGAGCAGCTTGGTCATAAACACTGGCCTGGAGTCTGCTGCAGGTTGAAGCTAAATGAAGAGGGGAATGTAGTGGAGAGGGGAGGTTGTGGTTCCATCATCCCCCAGGAAATCTGTGTGGAGTGGCAGCAGTGTGGCAATGTTGAGGGGAGAGGACTGCAGACACTTTGGATTTGGATTTAGTGGGTTTTGGATCTCTTGTCTTGCCCAACAAAAGAAGAAAGGGAGACTAGAGTATTCAATTTCTCTTTCTGTCCAATAGTCCTGCTTATGTGTTACCAAAATGGAGCCCAGAGGCTTCCACTTGCCCATGGCATCCTGGCAGTCATTCGCTCTCCACTGGTGTTACTGGCCCTAAGCAGCCAGTGGGCACAGGAGCTGGGCTTCCTGCAGGGCAGTGGGACAGCCTGGCTGCCCCTCTTCCTGATCTGAGGTGGAGAGCAGTGCAACTGGCCACTTAGCTCCACTACTGTTTGGTGCTAGAACAGTCCTTTCTCTGGAGCACAGGGTTCATGGCTGGGAAGAACAGGGAGAGAAAGGGTGAGAAAGGGGGCATGGGAATGGTGGGCTCTTCTGGATGGAAAGTAATGACAGAGAGGAGGAAAGGGTGGACCAGAGGAAGGAAAGGAGGAGCAGGGGGAAAGAAACAAACCTGTAGGCTAAAATGGAAATAATAATCCACTGGATGCTGCTGCAACCTAACTCCCAGGAATGCTGCTCCAAGGCCCCCTCACTGCGTGGGGATGTTTGCCTGGTCCTGCACGGCCGTCTCTGCTCCTGTGCCAAACCAGCTGTCCTGCCTGGAGCTCTGGCCTTTGCGGCTGTTGTGAAGAGGGCAGGATGTGTTTGCTTTTGCCTATCGCATATTTTTTTAAGAGGGTGGGAGTTCCTCTGCTTGAATTCCCAGGGCTTATTTTCCCCATGATGTCTCTGGTTTCTGTGACTTGGGGGACTCCATGGAGCTGGGGTCGTGGTCCTCATCCAGGACTTTTGACTTGACAGCAGCTGTTTTCTTGGACTGCTTCACGCTTGCCAGCCTGGCTCTGAGATGGGCCAGAAGCTTTCCCAGCACAGGCACGCAGGATGGGCACGTGCCGTCACAATATGGGGGTGCCTTGCGTGGGCACTTCTGGGAGCATTTCCCATACCCAGCATCTGGTTCATGTGAACAATGTGCTGTGCTGGGGTCAGGCCCTTCCCCATGCCCAGAGCATCAACTCTGTATGGATCTCTGGCTCTTCCCTATGCTGCTATTTCCTGATTAAACTGTGAGCTTGACTTCAGTGGATCAGATGAAAGTGGCTGTCTCCCACTGTCTCTCCAACAGTTGTTATCTTGACCCTTTTTCCTCCTTTCCCACTCTTTCTGTCTAAAGCCGAGCCTCTAATTTTAGACTGAGGGAGATAATTGAGGGTCAAAAAAGATTGCTGTGTAATTTCAACTTTTTTTCAGTGGTTGGGGTGGAAGACAAAGTTAGGAGCTCCTTGCCCTCAAACCTTTGTATTGCGGTAAAGAAAGACATAGGGGAAGGAGTGAGTTGGTACAGTCTGCTCCGTGCAGAAGTCATGCTGTTCCTTGCAATTAGCTAAAACTAAGAGTGAAAAAGCATAAAATACTGTATTTCCTTTGCAGATCCTATTGACCGAAGAGTTCGTAGAGAGAATGCTGGAAGATTTAGAAGATCTGAATTCTCCAGAGGAAGTAAGGCTGCATCATTCCTGTATCTTCCATGTACTGTCTCAGAGAGCTCAGCCCATCCTCCAGCTTGTCTTTGATCCTCCCCTCAGCCTGCAGGCTGCAGCCCTGCCCCATCCATAGACTTGAGGCCATGCTAAGCCTTCACATCTGCTGTGAACTACTGAGGCACTGAGAGAAGGGATTGCAAGAAATATAAGACAGGGATAGGTATTAAGGGAGTTTCTGTGTTTTGATTTCCATCAGCTTCTTTTCCAGCATAGTATCTGAGCACCCCAAATGAAAGCAGTGCAGGTGGCAGGATTTCCTCCATGCCATGTATAGATGTAGTCCTCACCAGCACTCCTAGCACATCACCTTCTCTGCTTTCAGAAAGGCTGAAAGTGGTGGTAGCACATAGACTTTTGAACAATCTGTTGTATGGGCCTCCTTTAGTGGGTTTGGTAAGCAGGCAGGGCTGTTTCACATCTGCTACTTGGCCTTCACCTGCTGGCCCTGCACGGTGTGTGAAGGACCATCACCAGTCTGGAAGCATTACAGCAACAGCCAGGGGGGCTTTATAAAGCTGGTACTAAACTTCCCACTGCCATGTGATCTCTTCCTGGGGAACATTTAACACCCCGTCTCCCATGCATGCCATATAAATATTCTGCTTGACTTCAAAGATCAGTGGCAGAAATGACATGTAATATTTTTAATCCCATTTTTTACAGCTCCCTGCAGACTCTAAAGAAACTTTCCTTGGCTTGTAGAGCAGCCCTCCCCTTACTCTGCTCCCCTCCCCCCAGGAAAATCTCACGGCTCTAATTGTTTAATCCAGAGTTGACTTAATGCCAGGGTGTTCCTCACTGTGTGAGTGAGGGGAGCATGCTGCTGGCTGTGCAGTGACTTTCAGACCACCTTTTATCCAGTTAAATCTAATCCAAAGCTCATTTTTGCTAGTGACATGGAAGCCCAGGAGCACTTTGGTTTGAAGGCCCGTTAGCGAAGGCTTTGGATGGCTCATGTTCCTTCACTGTCCACTGAGGCAAAGAGCATGGCAGCTCCTGGCTCAGCAACAGGGTGTTTGGTTCCCACTCACTGTGACTTTGCTGAATTGAAAAGTGAAAAACAAACAAATGCAAAGGATGACTTCTCCAAGAGGATTGCTTTGGAACCAGTGCTGTTTATAAAAAGGAAAATACTTGAGATGAAATGTGATCTTTCAGCATCCAGATTCCTCCAAGGATTTGTAACTTGCAGGATCTGGGTCGGGCCAACTGAAAGCATTCCTCAGCAGTCCTGACTGTTGCTGATGATGTTCATGTGGTAGAATGAAGCACTGTGAGGAGTCTTTCCTTTGCTGCATAAAGAACCACCTGTGCCCACCTGTGTTAAGTGAAATAATCTGTCTGAGTATCTTTACATGTTTTTCACGTGTCCTAGACAGACTCAGAATTCCTTGGGCTGTGCAGGGCCAGTAGATTACATGGTGCAAGCTATACACACGGCTTGAGTGTATAAGAATACTTAAATAGGACCTGAGCTGTTTGTTTCCTAGAGGATAATGAACAGGAGTTTGTGGTAGCCTCTATCCTGAAGAGTCCTCCTGCTGTGCCCCCAGATCATGGATCAGACCATGAACTACCAGCATATTAAGGACCATGGATACCAACTGCAGGTTACCCTCATGGGCAGCTGCAAATGGAGCAAGATCAGAAGCAAATTCATGTTAGAGACACCCTTGCTGTGGAGCAGGCAGCTGGAGGGGATCTCCTTTAGCAGGAACCTCGCACTGAGCCTGTGTTGGTGTCCATCAGAAACAGGATGCTTACGGGAAGAAAGACAAGTAATTGGATAAAGACTGATGATTTCCAGGTGGCTGTCCCCTTATACCAGCTCTCTTATTCAAACAGCCCCTGGGAAGCCTATGGTGCTGCTGGCCTGGGTCTGAGGACTCTCCTAGGAGAGGACCACTGTATCCATAACCATTCTGAATTAGCCACCTCCAGGGCAGATTGTCACTGGTGGTGTTGGGTCTCCATGAGATTCCTCCCTGGGAGTCCCATCAGGGTGTCAGGGAGTATCACAGGGCGAGACAGTGCAACACTGGGTGCAGTACAGTTTTGAAAACAAAATGAGCCTGCAAACAGGCTTCCAGAGCTATCCCCCAATCTGTGTTTTGGGTCCTCAGGTTAGCCACTGGGATTGTACAAAATGCCTATGCAGAACTGGTTGCCATTCAGCTGTGGATGGGGCAGATTTGTGGCCTAAGAGATTCCACCCCACACCTTCAGCCCCACCCCAGAGCTGTGTTGGAGAGACCTGTGTGAATGCTTGGGCACTGGTCATGTGGTTGTGAGAAGGGTTGGTGGTAAGGCTCCTTGCAGCTCTGTCCCTGAATTGGCTGTGTTTGGGTTGATGTCGGGGTGACTTCCTAGCCCAGGCAGGGACATCAGGATGGGACCGGTGGACTTGCCGTGTTTGGGAAACATTGGCCACAGACAGTGCTGTGTAAACCAGACTGGGGCAAAAAATCTCCCTTCTGTGTGCTTCAATCAGTGTTTGCAAAACAGCCTGAGCAGCTGAGTGCCTGTGTGAGCACAAGGCATTGTAGGGCTCTGTAAGGCCTTTGTGCCAGAGGTGGGAAGGACTGCAGCAGGAATGCTGTGCAGGCACATTGGCTCTCCCCAGCCAGGGCAGCACAGTTTGCCTGTCACCAGAGAGCTCTGATGGCTCACCTACATTCCACTCTGAATCAGCAGAGGTTTGAAAGCTGCCCTGAGACTCCCTTTAAAGCAAATGTGGGCTCTGGGGGCTGGGCTGGATGAAAGAAGAGGGTCATGGTTAGATAGGAGGGAAGACACTTCCGCTGCAAGTCTTCTGAGAGGTTGGGAAGGGGAAAAAGTGATGGGGGCAGAAACTCTCCAAAATTCATCTGACGAAATAAACAGTGCTTGGGCTGAAAGCTCAGAACTTTACTTTGGCAGCTGAGACAGGCCACATTATCTAATGTCCACTGCTGTCCAAAACATACTGATGGGGAAATGTTTTCTTAGTGGCCTCTTGTTTTAAAAAATAATAATAACATGGGGCTGCCTGCCTTTGCAACAATTTTGTTTTTTCTCTGCAGATTGCAGTGATATGCATTAACTGGTTCTCTTTACTGTCTTACAGTTTAAACTTCCAAAGGAGTACAGCTGGCCTGAAAAGAAACTGAAAGTTTCCATCTTGCCAGATGCCGTGTTCGACAACCCACTGCATTAGAGCTGAATTACACTATTCTAACAACTGGGAGAGCCAAGTTACTGTCCATTACCCAGTGACTCACAGGATAATTAATGCAGTAAAAACTCTGCCTGCAAATAAAAAGAGTTTGCTGCACAACCACTGCAAACAGAAGAGGAGCTACTCAGCACCAGCCCAGACCGAACTGAGCCCTTTCCTTTATCCTTCCCAAGGCTGAACTCTCTGGGAGCAGCCTGCGTATGTGTGAGTGCGAGTGAGAAATATTTAACTATGAAAATTAGTAGTAAGAATCCTTTCTCTCTCCTAGCTGCAGAACTCCCCTCTGCCTTAGCCCAGGGTGTAGACGCTCTGCACGCCTGTATTTACACATACATTTCTGCCAGGTGCGAGCCTATAATCCATGGATTAAATGTTCTTTACGTGACTCTGGAGTCCTTTTGTTAGCCAAACTTTTACTGACTGCAGAACTGTTCTTCCATGTGCTATTTTTTTTTTTCTTTTTAGAAACGGAATGGTATTTCCCCTGTTTAAAGGAGGCCAAAAGCTCACATGCTTGAAGCTGAACAGATTTAAAGATGAACTTTCTAGTTCAGTCAAGAAAAACAAATCCAGATCCTCCCTGCCCTCAAATTAGGCATGTTTTAAGTGTTGGTCTTGGTGCTATTAGCTATGGTATCACTGCAAACAGAGGCAACTTTATTCTCATGCATCCTGTCCTTGTGCCTGAACCCCAGGGAAGGTCACAACCTCTGGTTTTGCACAAGCAGGAGGAAGAAAGCTACCGGGGCGGGGGAGATCTCCTGTTTACAGTGTGTTTATCTTTAAAGAGATACTGTCAAGTATTTTTTCCTTGCTATTGTACAGAATTTGAGAAGCTAGAAAGGATCATTTGTTCACAGGGACAACTTCAGCAGCTCTGCAGGATCGGGGGCTGCTTGAAAGCATATGAAGTGAAGATCTCTGCTGCCCTGGCACAGCAGAAAGGAGTCTCAGCCTCAATGAAGCCAACTATTCTCCCTGTTCCAGCAGGGTTGTGCCCTAGTGCAGCTCCATTTTCCCCTCTAGCCTCGCTGTGGTGGCTCTTGTTGCTGACCTTCCTCCTTTCAGATGGGTTTGAACTGTAAAGCATCAAAGCCAGTTTGAAAAGACACTCTCTCTAGATCCCTGTGGCTTCCTCCTTGGAGCAAAAGGAGTGTGCAGAGGAGCTGGTCTCTGCAATGCCAGGAGCTGTGTCTCTGCATCAGCTGCTGGCCCTGTGGATACCTGCAGCAAACCACGGCAGGCTTTACCCCCTGCTGCTGCTGCTGGGTGCTTCTGATGCATATTCCCCAGCCTTCCTCTGCCCATTGTCTTTTGGTGACAACTCTTCACTCCTTGTCAGGGGAGGTGCAACTTTCCTTCCACCCCTTTCTGCCTACAAGATAACTGGTGGTTTATGCGCAGTTGCTGTGTGATCCTAATACAAGTATAACAAAAGCTTTTAACACTTAACTCCCCTGATCAAACAGCAAAGTCCAGGAGGCCTTACAGTACCCTGGGGTTGGTTTTCTGTTTGTTTTCTGATTTAATTTCTTCCCAGCACAGTCAGCTTTGATGTTTCCTGCATATATTTGAGGCTGGTTAATGTTGGTCAAGAAGCAGAGCTAGGAGCCACAAAGCTTTCCTTGGACTTGCTACAGAATTCCTCTGTGGCCTCAGGCAAGTCACTCAATGTCTCTCTGTGCAGAGAGGGTGACTATTGACTAGAGGGCTGTAGGACCTACCGAAGCATGCCAGGGTTTGCAGGGGAGGTCGTGCTTTGTGTACAAAGTAGTATTTGTATTATTATAATTGTTTTTATATTATAATTTAAGGCAGGCCAAATGCAGGGTCCAACACTGCTCTGCAGAACCTTCCTTTCTGCAAAGCTATGAAAGCAATTTACATGTAAATGAGTTTGTCATTTTGTCTGAACTCAGAGGATCATCTTAAAATCCTGCTGTGAAAGAACAAACTTTCAGATATCTGCATGTGCCAGCCAGAGTGGTTGCTGTGCTGAGGCAGGCTGCATTCATCCATGGGATCTCTTGGCCAGTTTTCATTGTCCTGGTTAGCACTAAGCATCCCTTCTGCTCTGTAGATCTCTGTGCAAGGGACAGCGTGGGTGAGAAAGTGCCATGAAAACCTACCAGTCCAGCTTCAAAAACAATGTGCCCAAGTGTCCCGCCAGAAGATAATGGGCAAACAGATAATTGTGGCAGTGGGGAAAAGGCAAGGGCAGCACCTACAATTTCGTCCCAAAGCCATCCAACAGCAGCCCGTGGATGTTCTTGTACAAGCTTGCTGGGGGTGCCGCAGCAGAGCTGGCCTGTTGCCATCATGCTGGCTGCTCTTCCTTGTTTCCAGATGCTAGCTCTCATTAAAAGGAGCTTAAAATCCACATCTTGGTGGAGAAGGGACATTTGGAAGGTCAGTTGTTGCTATTCCTGCAGAGATCAGCACGGGGCAGAGAGAAGTCCATCAGACCCTCTCTGGGCTCTGACACACATCTGGAAAGCTTGAGACCTCCTGCCCTGTGAACTCTTTGAGCCTTCACGGCAGGGATCTGGTGCTGTATGCAGGGAAAGCACCTCCTCCAAGCTGGCTTGTGCTCCAGTTCTGCCTTTCTCATGCAAGTGTTTTCCTCACTGTATTTACTCTCATCAGATGCTCTGGGCTGGGTTTCCATTGACTTCAGAGGGAGCACGCTGAATGCATGTGATAATCCACCCAGTACCCTTGTGTGTGTGTGTGTGTATTTTTGTTCCATGTCATGTATTTATATATAGTTCTGTGTATTTGAGTTATGAACAGGTGGCATGCCAGAAATCTCTATTTCTGAGACACTTTCTCACAGATCTTTGCTGGTAGCCAGATAACAATTGAGGGGGGAAGGCTTGAAGGGAAGGAAGTGAAATCTTCCTATTTAGGTAAGGGGGGAAATATTAGACAAATAATTGCTAAAATAGAATTCTGTGTCTTATTGTTAGAGCAGCTATGAGAACCTGGTGAAAGTCAGCCCTTAAGCTCCCTGGTCATGTCACTGGCTCTCAGCAACTTATCTAAGAGTAAGAAAGTTGCAGTTACTCAGTATCCTGAAGAGCTGAGCAACCACAGGACGTCCCCTCACAATTCAGGTCGAGTTTGCAACCGTGCCAAAGGCATGCTCACTGGCAAGTAAATGAGATGTGAAGTTTGGATATTTTCATCTCGGGGCAAGAGGACATGTCTGTGTGTGAATTAAATGGAAAAGAAACCTTTGTATTTTAGTGAGCAAGTAGTTTGAAAGAGGGAAGTCATCAGTGTTAATAAATGCCACGGTGTTTTTCTAGCCCAGTCCTGCTGAGATGGTAGGACCACTGGTGCTGATTTTTTCTCAGTTGTGTAGAAGACCTGAAGCAGTTTTGTATGGAACCAAAACCTGTGGGGCTTGTGTTGGCTAAAGACAGTGACCTGGATGGAAATGAAAGCAGTTTAGAAGCAGTGAGAACAGGATTTCTCTCTCTTGAAGAAATGTGGCAATGTAGGTCAATTCAGATATTTGGAAAGATGAAGAGCCTTGAAAATCCAACATGTGACAGCAATTCTGAAACAGGAGAAGCCTTAAAAGTCAGGGCTACTCTCTCTCTCAATTTCTGATTAAAAACAGGACAAGGAATGTATAATTTCAGTATTAAAGTATGTAGGGTGTGATCTGAGCAGAGAAGTCAGTCTTGTAGCTGCTGTAACCATATTTTCAGTGGCTTAGATAGATGGTGCCTGCTGTGTCTAATTCTTTGAGGATGGTGTATATTGGTTTTACTCTACATGGAATTGCCAACAGTGATTTGAAGTTATATTCTGAAGCTCTTCACTTTAAATATTCAGTTGCTCTTGGATGGCTTTTGAAATTACACCATCAGGTCATCAAATGGTCTTGGGAAAAGTGAGGGTTGTGTTGTTTTTCATCTGGGACCAGTAGAAATATTTTTTTTAAAAACCCAAAACACTTGAAAGCAGTGCTTGGCTCTTCCCTCCTCCTAGGTTGGCATCCAGAGTCCATGTCCTGCTTTGTCAGCTTGTACCTGGCCAGGGCAAGGCAGCATCACATCAGGTGGGGAGAAAAGCTTCAGGCCAGAGGAAGCCCTTAGTCCACGTGTCCAGTTTTCCCCTAGCCCCAGCATGGCCTCGTGCCTTCTGGCTCCACTGTATCAAGTCTTGGGCTTCAGCCCCTGCTTCATCTGGGCCAGGTGAGGAAGGGTCCAGCACCAGGAGAGCCCTTCCACCTCCCAGGGACTGGGTGACTGCCCTCCTGTGAGAGAACGCATTGTGCCTTAATTTTTCCTGGGAGTGAAGCTGCAAGGGCAGACGAATTGTCGAGCAACCAAGAATTCCTTTCTGTGCATCTGTCCCTATTAATAAATGCCAGCCTGCACAGCAGCCAGACTGTATCCAAAGCAATCTGAAAATCCACATTTGCCTATGGGGTTCACCTCTTAAGATTTTAAAGCTGGGTTTAAGTCTCTTGACCTAACAAGGTCTGTTTCAACCTACTATTTTTATAACATTATTTTCTGTTATGCAGTGTCTGCTTGCTCTCTCTTCTTTCAAAAAAACCCAACCCTTGTGTTTTGACATGAGTCCAAAATTTCAAATGGAGAATAGGCCTGAGGTTGCAGATGTGTTTTAAACGTGGTCCCATATCGACTTGTCTCTCAGGCAGTGAACCTGTCGTGTACTGTGCTTCACCACCTCTTCATTTCTACCATGGCTCTGTTTCCCCTAAAGTCGCTGACAGACCATAAAATCATCATAAGTGGCACATCAGTTCACGAACGTCATTTCTAGTCTGCTGTGAAGGGGCTGGCCCATCCCTTTCCCTTGCTGGAAGACCACAGCATCATTCACCATTTGGCTTGTGGAGCCCTGACAGCAGGAGGGGATCGTCAGCCCAGGAAGGGCTGCACGTGGCAGATGTGGCCGGCCAGGGCCTGGCTGTTTTTAAACTGTCCTGATGCTGTGCCTACCCTCTTTAAAAAGAGGAAGAGAGAGAGAGAAACAAACCCAACCTCGAAAAGCCAGAAGAAAATTTCCTGCCCATTGTCATGTTTTGCAAACACTGTTCTTTTCTCTCGCCCTCTCCCTCCGCTCCCGACGAGGCTGGAGATGAAAATGGCTCCTTTGTTCCTTTCCCTGGGGCCCAACTGCAGCGAAAGTGCGGCTCCGGAAACTCTCCACTGCACGAGCGGCGAGGGTGGGAGGGACCGAGCTGTCCCCGTGTGCGGCAGGTCCTACAGAAGCACGGCTTGCTGGCAGTGCCCCGAGCAGGATGGGAGCAGAAGGGCTCCGTGCTGCTGGTGACGAGGCTCCTGTGCCGTCTTCCTACAGGAGCAAGCAGGATGCGAAACGCACGGGCTCGGGAAGGGG